CACACACACACACAGACACACACACACACACACACACACACACACACCTACACACACACACACACACAATGGATGTTCACATTTTTCTATTGCTGTTCTGGGTAATTTTCTTTTTCAAAAATGTTAAAAAGTGAAAAATAAAGATATTTCAAACATGAAAACATTCTTGTGTGGTCCTAAATATAATACTAAATATTATACAAGTGATTATTCTTAACCAAAATGACAAAAATGGCATAAAAACACATTGATTCTAATAGTCATTTTTGACCCACTTATGGAAGAGTGTAGGGTCCAGTCACTCGTGCATCTAAGGGTTAATAGAGCCAAACATTTGAATGAGTCCCGTCATTATAGTACATCAGTTTAAAGGAACACTCACCCACAAGGTTGGGTGACTCGTGAGAGACAGATTTAAGAAAAAGGAAAAAAAAACAAGGTCAGAATCAGTGTAGCAAAAGCTAGTTTTCCATAATGTGAGTCAAGATCTTTGTTAGTATAGCACACTTCCTACAGACTATGTAGCTCAAAGTTCAGTACATTTAAAAATATATAAAAACAGAAAACCATCCTTTTACAGATAAAATAAATAAAAGTGGTAGGAAGGAAGCATGCTTTTTGGACTTACATTTTAAGTGTAATTTAAAGAATTTCAACAGATGAATAATAACTGGAAAATATTTTACATTTAAAATGACAAATACATTTTTTTAAGTGTTTAGACATAAAAGTATTTAAATGCATAAAAGGTAATTTGAAATAAACAAGTGGGACACACATAAAGTGCTGTTTAGAGCGACAGAAGACACTACAGCTGTTCTCACAGGCCAGTACTCTCAGTAAAGGGACGTTTATGTGTGAAACTGGTGGAGTGACTCAGTACAATCTGATATATCTATGAGTCAATTCAACACTGGAACATGTTACAAACAAGGATGTGAACAAAGCGTTGTGAAGATGCACAGAAAGTAACATATTTGGCGTGTTTTCTTTATGCATAAACATTCAAGAATGTTTTATATATTTAATATACGGCACATATAAAAATGTGAAATTCTTCAAGAGTCTGAAAATATAGAATTAGATTGTGAATAACAATGTAATATATCAACACAGTAAACGTACAATGGTAACATTGTTCTCGTGTACTGTGAAGCTGCCATATGACAAAACACTCGTATCTTTCATACAGAGAAATTAAAAGTGCAGGAATTTCCTAAAAATATTCATTTTGTATTGTTTAGTTTGTTGTCAATTAGGCTGATAGAGTGAAAAAAGTTTTTATTAAAAAGCGACTATCTTATCGCACAATTCTCTGTACTAACACTATAAATATTAATTAAGTACATACATTGATAAATAAGAGGCACTTCCTCAAGAAAGCAGAACCAAAGTGAACAATGGTTTCATTTTTAACTTAGGATGCTGAAAGCTGTAATCAAGATGTCAAGATGTAAATACTTTAGAGGTATGGACTGAAGTTATTTCACTTGCATACGCTCCGCTCTTCCAGCGACACATTCCTGGATACGCTTTTGAGGAACGTCCCACAGCGCCAGACTCAGTCAAAGTGCTGCATGTCTGTGTGTGTATTTCTCCATTGTGAGTCTCCAGCCGGCCTTTTGTCCTGGTTGTCTGTGCTGTGCAGGAAGGTCTAGACAGCTGACACTTACCTAATCCAGAGGGCTGCCCGTGGCCACCTCCTGTCGGCCGACCTCTTTCACCCGCAGGGGACAAGAAGCCCAACGATGGACACAGCAGTCGACTTTAAACAGGAAGAAGAAAAAAAGTTCACAAAGTGTGAGGTCAGTTCAAGTTTAACTTCAAGAATTTAGTCACTGGGAGCTAGTCGACGCCTCTTCCATTGTACCAAATGAGAAATGGATTTTTTAGAGGAAATAATAAAAAATAAAATAAATCCTTCTCATGTGGACTGATTCAGATACTCAAGTTGCTGCTGAATTCACTGGGACTTTTTATTAGGGTCTAAATCAGTTCAAAATGCTTAACAATGAGTCCCCCCTGTCTATTGCAACATGCGTGACCCTTTCAGGCTAATAATCAAATATTATTATAAATCCCTTAAAGATATTCATTCTGCTATAATGTCACACATTTTAACACATTTTGTTCCTTTTTTGTCTTTTAATTGTTTTATTGTTTTGCATCAGTCTACTTTCACTTGATTGTTGTTGTTGTTTTTTGGTGAAATTGCCAAATAAATTAAGTTTATTTCTAAGCTATTATTGACCTCAGTGGAGTTACAGCTCTCTGAAGGAATGGGCTCATGCCTACTGTATGACATCATATCAAAAACAAACCAAAACAGCAGCTTCCCGACCTACAACACATCTAATATCATCAGATGAACAGCTAATACTTCCAAACAACTTTATGCTATTTCTGGAGACAAGTTCTGGCAATACACAGTGGCAATGTATTTCTATTCAGCCAATGACACATCAAACTTTAGGGAGAGTTTGTTCCACCTGCACTCCAGATTTAGCTAATACATTTCTGGGAAAAGTGGGAAGTATTTGAAATGTATTGTGATGATTTATTTAGAATCTACATCCGGCCAGCAGATGATGACAGAGCATCTGTTTTTCAGTTTCATCTCTGCAAAGTCTGATTAGTCATTGAAGGTGTGTGTCTGCTCCTCCTTATGAAGACGGTGACATCAAGTGACTCATCCAAGACGATGGTGTGTGTGTGGGTGTGTGTGTGTGTGTGTGTGTGTGTGGTGGTGGTGGGGGAGGGGGGAGGCGCGCGTAATCAGGAATGTTTTTTTTCACACGCCCATGCTGTTGTGTACCACGCTGCCTCCACGGCGCCGTCAGCCCCCGATCACGCACCGAGTCGCCCTCCCATTGGTCGGCACCCAGCACACCTTTGTGTCCCATTGGCCGAGGCGTTGATCCGGGGCCCCGTTGTTTCACCCCCACCGCGTTTGAAACGGATGAATGGGAGCGGAGGGGGGAGGCCGAGGGAGAAAACTGGAGAAACTTCAAATTTTAGTTTGAAGTGCTCACGAGAGACGGAAAGACGAGTTGCGCTATTGAGCAGTGAAACCGGGCACCGTAACACACGTCACACAGACCCACATAAGATGTAAGTACATACACTTTCACTTCATTCATATACAACGAGAATTGCTTGAAAAAAATATAAATACAATGTTCGGAGTGGGCTTTATTTCGACAGTGACATTTGTTTGTTTCATGTCTAATGACGGTTGTCAAGCCTTGTTTAGCAGCGCAGCCTCTATCTAGGTCAGAGGTCATTCATTTACCACCAGCTTCACCACTGATGGTTACTCAGGATGCGTGTGTTGTCTCTGTGTGTGTGCTCGGGTCAGGGAGGGGTTGACGGTTTGTGTAAGCAGCACAGTTGGTGCTTTTGTCCCCCCCACCACCAGAGAAGTAGGTGAAAGGGCCCTGGTGCTGAAGAGCAGCAGCTGATCATGCTCACTTCACATGATAACCTTTACATAGTCTGTATATTTTGAGGAATGGCTTAATCAGTAAGCTTTGAGGCTTTGATCACGGTGTGTGTGTGTGTGTGTCTGCTCACATAATGTACACAATCTGTGGTTTATGTAATTTTCCCAGAGTAACAGCATGTCATATATTGAAGATATATGATTAAAATGAAACAACCAGTCCATGTTGTGCTCATTTTTTCATTTTTTTTTTTACAAGAGTTGCAATATGGAAGTTGAGGAGCTCCACTCAGACATCCAGGGTGAATTCCAGCCAGCTCCTTTGGGCGCAGGTGACATGGAGGCTGTGGAGGTTCTGATGTCCATGACTAAGCACTGGAAGAACAGGGGCTTCAGGGTCAGACACTGCCGGCCCTTGACTCCATCTTCAGACTGCTCAGAGGACGACTCTGTCCCCTTTGGGTCTGCCGCGCTACGGAACTCTCCTCCGGTAAGGGTTAAGGTTTTTTACCTGCAGTGTGTGGAAAGCAGATTACTGGTTTATGTGTCCAGTGATGAGACCTTTCTGGGCAAACCTTGGCAAAGCACTAGAAGGCACACTGAACACAGATCTTGTGGCTTTAGGAAATGTTGGTTTTCAAGCAAAATTGTCATTTTAATATCCGCTTGTAAAAAATGGCAGAGGAAATTAAACTGCTTGAAAACAACGAAAAACAACAAGAATATCCACGTAAACAGTGGAGGAAGGAGGAAAATAAGACTAATAAGATACCAACAAATGTAAACATATAAAGATGCACACACAGCTTAAAATGACATTTTAAGAAGGCCGTATGACAAGACTGCTTTAAAAGAAGATACAAATTTTGCAAGACTGAGTTTGTCAATAAAATACTTAGTGACTCTCCTTTCCTTTCAGTGCATGACGCCGCCATACAGTCCACCCAGCTTCGAGGCCACCCATTCCCCCTCAGCGGCGACCTCACATCCACCTGCAGCAGCTGGAAGTCCGAGCCGGCGGCCAACGGAGGAGACTCGCCTGCACACGGGCACCGCCGCCCCTCAGCACCGGTTCACCAGTGTGATCCAGCACACCTCGGATGGCGCCGTCCATCGCGTCTCCAGGGAGGACGGACTCACTCATACAAAGCGCTTTAAAACAGATTTGATCTCCGAATGCGGGCTGAACGGTACTGTAATGCAGTCCGACTCTTGTGCAGCCAAATCTTTTAATGGGACTTTGCCATACGTGGCTGAAGGCAGCCAGACCCAGGTGAGTCCGTTAGGCCCCGATGACAAATCAATCACATCTCAGGCTGTCTCCGGGGTCTCTCCTGTGCCCATCTACTGCCAGATCCTCCCCGTCTCCTGTCCTTCCTCTGCTGTCGCGGCCCCTGACGGGCAGCAGCGACACCTGCTCTCAATCCCATCAGCAACCACCATCGCACTACAACAGCGAGCACAAGCTTCTCCCGCCCACGTCTTCCTCCTGGGGGGGCCAGGTGGCAAAAGGCCCAGTGATGCTCCTCGTCTCCCAGCCAGGTGTCCCCACACTCTACGTCCAGCCAGCGCTGGTGACCCCAGTCGGCGCCAAGCTGCCAGCCATCGCCCCCGCGCCCGGTCGCGCTTCGTCGGAGCAAAGACCAAACCCACCGCAGCCAGAAGTGTCCCGTGCACGCACTCATGTTTGTCCCCGTGAGGACTGCAGCAAAACCTACTTCAAGAGCTCCCACCTCAAGGCCCACATGAGGACACACACGGGTAAGGATTTTAATATGATTTGACACCTATACAAATAAAGAAAAAGTCACTTTTCTCGATGCTGTGATGAAAACAAACTGCTCATCACTAGCTGTGTTCCAACAGGTGAGAAGCCCTTCAAGTGCAAATGGGAGGGCTGCGAGAGGAGGTTCGCTCGCTCCGACGAGCTGTCTCGCCACCGGCGCTCCCACACGGGGGAGAAAAGGTTCGCCTGTCCCACGTGCCTCAGCCGCTTCATGCGCAGCGACCACCTCGCCAAGCACGCCCGGCGGCACCTAGCGCGAGGAGGGCGCCCCGCTGGGCATTAAAGGACAACCAGTCCGCTGACCGCACTGCCTCCGCGAGTCGGTCCTCGAGAAACTCCCTCTGAGGCGTCCTGATGAGACACCGAAGGGAAGACATTTGAATGTGGCTTTGTGAGTCCAGCAGAGCAGCGTGTTCCTGGTTTCTACGTCACCAGTCGGCCAATAACAGCTGCTTTAATGATTATAGTCGAGTGAGATCGAGGTGATGAGGTTGTTTACATTGGACTTCAAACTACTGCGTCCCTCCCATTTACACTGAAAATATCAAGTTGATTTACAAATGAACGCGTGATGTTACATATTGTTCTTTTATGCCTTGCCAGAATCTATTTTGTTATAAAAAACACTTTTGCACAACCCTCATTTCTTGTAGGGACAGTACAATTCTTTAAACTTTTTTTTTTTTTTTTTTTAATGTGTCCCTGTAATGACAAAGACTTTAAAGCTCTTCAGTTGCTATGTGGTTTGGACTTGAGACATTTAGCTCCTCCAACCAAAGTTTGTCTTTGATCACATTATTCAAGACGAGAACTGGATCAGGTCCTGTTATGAAGCCATTTTAAGCAGAGCTTCACTGAGAAATTGAATATTAATAAAAGACAGACGCAGGGATTCACAGTCCAGTCAGTGAGGTGTTTTACTGTTCATGTTGACAAACACAGATACAGAAGTTATTTTCCATCATGCCTTAAACACAGATTAGGAGACAACTTCACAGATATTGTGCAGTTGAGGAATAATATTCTTTCAACAGTCCTAAATTTTGAAGAAAAAAAAAATATTTTAAAACAAAATTCAATAAACATTTTGAGCAGACAAAGCAAAAAATGGTTCTAGCATTATAAATACTTTTTATTTTCTTTAGAAACCCCATTCCATGTCATCTGATTCATCATCCACCATCACTTGCCTTGTCCCATCTGCAGCACATGCTAAGCTATGTCGTGCTATAGCAGTTACCTGCCGGCCCCTCACTGCTCTGGGAGCAAGCTGCTCACAACACTGAGCCATTAGCTTCTCAACCAAACGGAGCAGACTGCGCTCATCACCTTTCCAGAAGGACAACATGTAATGAAATCAAGCTCTTGTCACACTGAATTAACTATACAACAAACTCATAAATACACATCTTGCAGTGAAGCTATGAACTGTGTTTCCATTTAAATACACCGCTTCACTCTGGGATTACTTTACAAGACTGGCAAAAGCAATTAAGACATAAATAATATAACCATTTAAAATCATTACATGTCTACTGTACGAGTGTAAACTATAGTGCCGTGGGACGCCCAAAGCAAAGGGAAGAACGCCGCTGTCTTTTAGGAGTCATCCATTTTGTTGCACACTAATTAACATCTACCTAGGTTTCGGCGGACTAATCACATACTTTACTCTGTGTTGGGGTTTGTAGAATGAATTCAGTCTGGTCGAAGCTATTTCAAGCTATATCTGCACAGCGGGCTCAGCTCCTCCCAGTTGAATGTGGACCGGAGGAAGCTAGAAGCAGGAACAAGTAAAGGAACGTTCTCCCATGTGTCTGGTGATTGCTAAGCTGGGACAGACAGACCAGCCGCTGTCTGGCAGGAATCGAGGAAATAAGGAACCAAAGAGAAGTTCTTCAGCGTAGCCTCGTGGGTGACACCGATATCCTGCATCTCAAACCTGGTGGAGGGAAAATGAACAGGAGTCAAGGACAAAATCTGCACAGAAAACATTTTCACAGTTCTTTAAAACTATATATATTTTGTGGGGGGATTTTGCAGAAACAACTCCACCACTGACCAGTTTACCACTTACCAGTCTCTAGAGGAGATGACAGAGTACACGGGGGGTGGTGGGGGATCGGTGGCGGTGCACAGTGGCTGACCCATACTGAAGGCCCCTGCTTGGCTGAACGTGAGCCAGTCTCCGACGTTGAGCTCAGGCAACAGGCAGTGCTCCACCACCTGGTCCAGGTCATCCCCAGAGGGACCCCACAGGCTGCTGCTGAACACTGGAGCATCCAGGGATGGGTTCTGCTAACACACAGCAGGGACTTATGGTTCATTTATCTATTAGATCTACTTAGTAATCCAACACACAACAGTCTCCATCAACTGGAGGTGAGAGCTTTTGTTACGTATTGTAACACACCTTGAATAAAATACTAATTTCTCTGGGTTTGAACATGATTGGAAACATTAGGGTTGATGTAAGTACACAACTAAACAAAATATATAACTTAAGTCTAAAATAATTTTTTCCCCCTTTACATTTTAATGCAGAAATGTGACATATCAGACCTTTAACTCAAGCACTTCCTAAAGTCCTGACTCACAACCTGTAGCCTTGTGTTTGTTATTCCATCATCAGTAAAGTCCTCAGGTTAAATGCAATATCAGCACAACTATGAAATGGTGTACTTGAAATGAATTGCCCATTACACAGTGTTTCTTCCCCATTGATTACATCATCTATCATTACTCAATCAGAGGAGAAGAAAGAGGATTATTTATTAGGATGGAAAGTTTGACTAATGGGTATTTAACTAAAGACAAAAAGTGTGTATACTGTATATGGCGACACAAAGAACATTTCTTTAACCATTTAAGAATCTTTGAGACTCACCTTATAAACAGATGGAGCAGCAATCAGTGTTTCAGAGAGTTTGCTGGCAAACGATCCGTACACGCCCTCGTTCATGTGGTACTGGAACTCTGGCTCATCGTTGACAGATGGATCGTCTGTTCAGAGAGATGGCAGACAAAACCTTTTACACTTTGAAACTTGCTGCTTAGATTTGGTTTAAGACTATGATTTGCGTACTTCTCTTTGGTCGACTTTACATGCTGCATCTTTCATGTAACACCTGCTTTATATTTTTACAGTTGTAATGTTGCCAATTCCAAATGGCAGTCCCCCTCATAGTCTTCTGTATAAGACTGTTGAGGCTATCAAAATGCACCATCTAGAGTCAGCTTTAGACTTTGGTCAAATTTCCAGACACGCAGTCATATCAACATCAGCTTTAATATCTTTATTAATCTGATGTACACCCTGAGTGAATATATCATGCCACTGACCATGTGCGTGGTCCTGGCGATCCCGTGCCACCGCCTCCTTGGAGATGACGTTTACAGCCAGAGTGAAAGCAGAGGACACAAAGAAGCTGCCAGGCTCGGCAATGATGGAAACTCCAGTAGAAGGAGGGAAGTATAGGTCCACCATAGACATGACTGCTTTATTGATCTGCAGAAGAGATGACAGCGGGACAAATTTGGAACCAAAATGGGTAGACCTTTAACAATCACATATAAAACGTTCTTTAATCTAATCACATTGTCTGCCCTTGAAGAGGGATTTAAAATCAGGTCTCTCACTACCGCAAATGCTGTCCTACGCCTGCTGTATGATGTAACATTTATACAACCGTACACTACTTTTTCCTCCTCGTAATTTCAAAAGAACATGATTTACATGCAGTATAAATGACATTGTGGTGATGCTTGCACTTGTATTGTGCCAGATAAACAGGAACAACGGGTAAAGTCAACTTAATATCATGACACATGTCTCAACCTGTGTCGCTTCTACAGAGTATTGTGCCCCGTGTGTCCTTCATTAGCATCGCGTAAAAAGCAGATGAGATACTGACCAGTTCCAGCTGGGTCTCAGATCCACTGAAGCCACCTCCAATGTCCAAGAATTTCATGTTGAAGCCAATTTCCTCCTGAGGCAGACAAAGGCTTGTGATTACCAAACAAGTGTTTCTCGAGCTGTCACAAGTGTCCAACACACAAAAATAAGAAACAGAAAAGCTAGTCACAGAACAAGGCATGTATATATATATAAAATTAGATTTAAAAAAACAAAAACATTTTCTTCTTGACTTCTGGCTCTGACGTTATTGGTAATGTTTGGATCACAAGAGTTGGAAACAATCCTACTCAGCCACCACCGGAATCAAATTCTACAAATAGTAGAATACCAATCACCACCGGGTCTATTGGTAACCAGTAACTACAAAGCTATCTTCACTGCTCTGCTCCGCTGTGTGTGTGTGTGTAGAGGCTAAGCATTGCACTTGGTCAAACACGAGAGCCGAGGATATAAATGATAATCATGTGACACTTTTAGCAGTGCTCCTGCAGAATGACTGTAGAAGAAACACTGATGAATGTAGCCTAATCGTCATCTGCAGCTGCGCAGGAAAACCAGGTTTAAATAACAGAATGCATAGAAATGCTAAACAAAAAGCTGCACAGCATTCAAATGTTAATTTACAATTTGAATGTCAACGTACTGTATGAAGCTTCGGCACAGCTCTACACAGAACTGAACACTGCAATGTAACAATATTTAACATTACTTACTCCCATATCAAAGACACAACGGGCATCAGATATGGCATGAACGTACACCTGGTCATCCTCACAGGTGCTGGAAATGTGTGACCTGTGGGGAGGAAATGAGGAAGAAGGGAAGTTAATGGTCGAACATTGACACCTTCACAAGGAGTAAAACTGCACCCTGTAGCAGGTCGGACTAAAGCATTAGTTTAACAGAGATCTGAGGTAAAGAGAGCTGTTGTGGTCCTTCTACATATCTGTATGTTTCTTCAAAGAGCTTTATAACCACACAGTGCATCTTTGCAGGCCTCACCTGACCCCGACCACCTGCACACCCAACTCCTTAGCCTTCTCCAGCAGGTGCCTGCAGTCCTTGAGGGAACAGCCAAAAGTCATGCTCATCTCATTGTCCTGGCTAGACGCTTCTGTTGAAATCTGTAGCAGCAGCCTGAAGTAAATAAAAGGATTGCCATTACGGGTTTGCTAAGAAAAAAAAAAAAAAAAAGAAATTAAATGAATTAAATAAAAGTGGAACACAACTAGAATGAGTTGAGAAGCGAGCACAATAAATCACAAAATATCTGCAGCTGACACCAAATGATTTTGTTATTAGCAATCCCAATATGCCAGAAGATTGGAAACAACATGCTGTATTTCAAGACTAATCGTGTTAGATGAATAGTATTTAATGACTTGTAAAAAAGTGACATAATCGCACAAAGCCAATTACTTAACAATGTTGGAACAGCAGCTTTCAAGTCACATGATCATTAGCACTGGGACTAACACCTCAACCACTTACTTGGCATTGGGGTGGCAGCGAGAAATCTTGCGCAGCTCTGCTTCATTGTCACACACCAGGAGGTCAACGCCATTCTTAGCAGCGTATTTAATCTGGGAGACTTGTTTGCAAACACCGCTGTAGATGATGTCTTCAGAGGGAATACTGTGGCTCTGGACCAGCTCAAGCTCAGACTGAAATACAAAAGAAACGCAGTCAGAACATTATTCCCTTCATATACTGCATGTGGGCTAGTTGACAGACATTTCATCATACTATAGACAAAATATATGCTAAACAACACATAAAAGGGTAGGCAGTGAGGTGTACTGACCACTTGGTGGTGCCTCTATATCTATTCTACAGATTGTGGACCAAGAGTTATGCAATATAAATCCACATAAATGTACTAGTACTTGCTCTAGTAGAGAAGGACGTGGTAAACTACTGTACTGTATTTGTTACCCTGTAAAATAAGGGTAGTAAACTCCTTTTAAAAAACCAGTATGCTCAGTATGAGAGAGTACCTTGTTGGTACAAATGAATCCAGTTCCGAGGGCAGCAAGAACTTCAATAACAGCTGGACTGCTGTTGCATCTGACAGCATAGTAAGGTCGAATTTGGGGCATGTGGGTTCGCCAGCGAACGTGCTGCCTCATTATAACTCCCAGGTCCGCTACAAAGAATGCATTCTTCTCAGACTGAGGAAAAAGGAAACAAACATGTGGATTAATAAGAAAAAATGCACAACGCATGTAATAAACTAGGCAAAACAATACAACAGGTGTTCCAGACACTTCTAAGACGGTAAGAAAGTCAGGTTTTTGTGCTGAATGTGCATGTTGTTGTGGTGAGACCCCTTACCAGAGTTTGTTCGTAAATATGATTGTCAATCACATCACAGAGGGCTGTGCCTCCCTCCAGTAGACCGACAGAATACTGTGGTTCATCAGCGATTCCTTTCATCCTCTCAACCGTTTTCTTCTAATCCGACAGGCATAAAGAACGTGGCTAGTCCGAAGTGGTCTTGCTCGCACCGACTCAAGCCCCTGGGGTCCTAGACTTATGCAACAAACTGTACAAGAAAATGAGAAAAGTCAACATCGTGCACAAAGTCTAAGAAGATAAGCAATTCAATCATATTTGGATAATGCACATTCACTGATGTCGTCCCGAGTTTACTCAGTAGCTGGAACATAAAGCTTTCTGATGAGCTCCCCAATCAAACAAGTCATTTTCAGGGAGCATCCAATCAGAGCACGGAGCAGGCTCCACGTTACAGGACAGCTTTGTGGAAGAGGCCTATTCTTCTAAAGAGCCGCTGTGAAAATAGAGTCTGGGGCACAGAGTTCATTTACTTTAGCATCAATTACTCCCAACAATCACCATTAATCCCTGAGCTGGGGACCCGTGAAAGGTTCTGTTTGATGGCATTAAACAAAGTACAATACAGGCGGCGTTGATGCAACAAATTTACTTTCAATAATGTTGCACAATACATCCAAAAGGCACAGCAGTCTGGACTGGACCAGATGTGACATAGCTGGAGCTTTGGGAGGTTAAATAGGGAGACTAACAATGTGGCTAGAAAGCCTGCTTTACTGCTGACAAGTTTGACAAGGAAGGGGCTATCGCTCCAAAATATATGCTTATTACTCCCCAAAACCCTTTCAAAGTCTGATCGGTAGATATAGATCGGAAATATTATGCAGAAATAATGGGACAGACAGTCTGATGCAAACGCAGGAAAAGAACTCCTTGATTTAATTGTGAAGCCTACCAATCGCTGAGTCCTCTGCAGAAACACGGGTTAAAAAAATGGTTGGGAGATAACTCAACCCTATAATCCTTTTAAAAATCAACCAAGACTTTATGTAACTTAGAGAATGCTCAACTATGTCACTCATAACATTTGAAAGAAGTGATGACGCATGACGGGGTCATACACAGTTAATTCAGTATGTTCACATTACACTGCAGAAAGAAGAACTACATTGAAAGTGTAGTCACTATCAGTAGGATTAATATCTATAACCAAATAATAATCTCCTTTATTGCAACTAAATGAGAGCAGGAGAAAAAAAACTGCAGACAAAAGAAGTCTGGTGCCATGCTATTTTAATAGAAGTGATAGAAATAGATCTGAAATGCTAAATCTAAAATAAATATTAGCCTGTTTGTGATATAACTGGGACACGCAGCTTGTTAACACATCTTTTCCTTCTGTCAGGAGATTTGATGACGCAGTTTGAATAAAGACAAAATTATACGTATCCATGCAAACAGACACAAATGCAAACATGGTTGTGTATTGCATATGTGTCTACAATAAAAATATATAAGTAAAACAATCAAAGAGGATGCATTCAAATGTCACACCCATTTCACTCACATGGATGAGTTCTGGGAGGAACTCGTCCACTATCAGCTAGGATCCCACGGTGGCTCGGCGTTGAAGTCAAACGGCTCTCGGTAGAGAGCTGCCCCTAGATCCTCTGGATAGTTGTTGTACACCTGCAGAAGCACCGGAGAGGACAGAGCACTTAGTAATCAGTCACCGACAGAGAAACAACTCGGACCAGGAGATCAGCTGTTTCCCAGTTATACAGTGTCTGTACAATCAAATACGTTACCTGTTGAAGAAACATTGGCAAACTGATGAGCAGGCAAATGTTGAGTGATAAAAGCCAATGGGAGGAGGGTATGCGTCATACATAGTTTCTTTAATTGCTATTTGTTAATGTTTAAAATGCTACCCTCTACTAGAACGGACTATGGTCCGGATTGAAGTTCACTGAATTGGTGCAATCATGACTAGCAGTTTCGAATTAAGTCAGTTAATTGCTATATAACAACATTTCCACTTTTGCCCCGGCACGATTAGCCAAATACCAAGCTTCTGTTGTAGCGGATCAACTTGCGACCGTTAGCATAGGTTAGTAACAGTAGCATAATATATAGCGTTAGCTTCCTAGCAACATACGATATCATTTTTCATTAAAAATACAGTTACTCATTATTTTAGTGATAATCCCAAAAACGTTTACGTTATCTTTAACCTCTTAAAGCTAGCATGCATGGCTGTTGGCACAAAACGCTAAATCACCCAGTTAATATAACAACATGCTAAATAGCAAGCTAACAACGCGGTTAGCTAAGAGAACGTTACTTACGTTGGCTGAAAACCCAAAAGAGGGGACAGAACGCTTTTTCTTTTTAGGCGGAATTTTCAAAGAGTGGTGGGGTTACTAAAAGAGAAAAGGATAACGGCCATGAACGTGGTGGATTAGGTCGAGTTATTATCCTTCAGCGTTATGTCGAAGCAAGCTGGGACCGGTTATTAGTGACGACTGAGCGGAAGGTAACCGTGGAGGTCGACTGTGCACACCGACCGACAGGAATGTTAAGTTACATTACACCAAGATTAACAGTATGATATCCGGTCAAAATATCAAAATAAAGTCAAATTAATATATATATTGTCACTTTTTTTTGCGGAAAAATGGGATTCCCGAAATACCTAGATGATGATAGTATTGTTCAGGGATCGTTCATTCATTCTTAACATGAATTAATAACAAATGATATAAACATAAAACGCTATTCCGGTGTGATTCTACATAAGAGTGGGCAGCTGGACGCATTTTAGATGGGCGGAGTTTAGAGCTGTCAAAATCACAAAAAACATAAGACAGCGACCTTAGATTTGCAAATTTACTAATTTGCAATAATAATAATATTATTGTTATCACTATTATTATCAATAATACAAAATAATGATAATAATAAGGATACAAATAACGATAACAAATAAAATAAAAAACAATAATAATAATAGTAATAGTAATAACAATACATATTATTCAAAATTATATTAATTTACAGATAAGTATAATATGCTGTTATATTCTTTTTTTTCCATACCATTTCCAGAATGACTTGGTTGACAAGCTATATTTATAATAACCTGATCAATGTCAAATTTTCCAAGAATTACCTGTGTTATGTCTTCATTGTATTCCCCATGGCTCAGTAATAAGGACAGAATAATGTCCAATTAAATCGGCAGAAACTTGCTTGTTTTCTGTAGCCAAAATCAAGGTTGCAAAGCAGCAGTCCCGCAAGTAATATGTAGATGGATGCATGTATTTTGCCCCAAGTTCAAGCTCAGAATGGATTTTCCTGTCCCTTTTGCTTTTGTTGTGGTGACTTTGAGAAGTTGTGCCAGCCTCTGCAAGTGCAGGGGCTGGGGCAGCGTTTTTTCCAAAGAGATACATTTGCATGTCTCCCTCCTCAACACTGGAGGAGGAGGAGGAGGAGGAGGAGGAGGAGGAGGAGGCCATGGAAAGCTCAGCTACTGTTAGCTAAACAGAGGGAAAGTGTTTTTTCTGGCGCTGTTTTAACTCCATACCAATACTGACATCATAGTCACAGACCTAGACATAAAGTCCCCAATTCAAATGTACATGTGTTTAATTCCACAGTGTAAAATAAAAATGTCCCTTGGTGGGATTAATAAACTATCTCTCTATCTGTCTGTCTGTCCGTCCGTCCGTCTGTCTGTCCGTCCATCTATCTATCTTATAGGATTCTAAAGGTTAATGCATATTTGCAAAGAATGTTATTTTATTGTGCAGTTTTTAATCAACTAAAATCTGACAAAAATGTGTATCCTTGAAATACACATTAGAACAATCCTTGCTTTCACTTCTAAGTTGGGCATAATGTTGGGTTTTTCCAGGATTCAATGCACTTTTTGATTCCATATATCCAGAAGCCCTTTTCTTTCATTGAGATCATATGTTTTTCATAGCAGCTAACCAGAATGGGTGTGAATTCACAAAACTGTGAAATTCTTCAGTGTATTAGATGAGCTTTGAGCACTCCTTGGGGGAACAAATAAACAATAGCAGCGTTTGTTTCACTAATAAAACTTTTGCTTCGGGTCCATTGTAAAGGCCGCAGAGGCATGCGGACTGCAACACAAAAGCTGTTCCGTGTTTTGTGCCGGTTTTCTGCGACACTAAACGAGCCCATGTATATATAAGTCTAATCACGGATAGCATCTAAAGTGGCTTCCAGTAAAGCGCAATGTTTGATTTCCATTGTTTGGATCATAATGGCCATCGCAACCGTTGGGTATGTGTCAGCCAGACATGTGTACCACCCACTGTGAGGGCAAATACTCCAGTGGCTGCATTGTGCAGCAGGAATTCATATTTGCAAACATTACAAAAAGATTACATCAACACACAGACTTAGAAAGACCCAGCATAGATGAACCCTGACTGACCAAGAGTCTCCAGTCAGAGAGGAATAAACAACATGTTCCAACGGCGAAAACATAAAATAATAAAGCACCTTCAACAAAATTGATTGTCCTCTTAGTTTCTAAGCATAAAAAAACTCATTAAAATAAATATATAAACAGAATCAAGAGAATACATCTATAAATGTACTGTACTTCTGCCTATTTGAAAAATAATTCACTCAGTACAGGGACTTGAGTGACTGGTTAAACCAACATGAACTCATGTTATGCAACAGACTCTGGTGTTGTTAAGTCACTCATCATGTCTTTTTGCCAAAGAATGTTGCTCAGTAAAAGGACCTCCGAACAAAGTTTCCCCCACACTGATCTGAATGTTAAGCAGGAAAAACTGGCTGCAGGAATACAACAAATATACAAAAGCCATTTCATTAAAACGATCTGATCCAAGAATGCCAGTGAAAGTCTATTTGCTGACAACTACATCGGCATTTCTGAAAATTGAATGCAATCTTTGACACACCTAACAAAATGTATTGTAAAATATCTCTATTTTTTGGGGGGGTTCTACAATATGCCACCTGAAAGGAAGCACCTATCTCTGGGCTTTCCCAGGACTTGTCATTTTCAACAATTGTATCAAAGTGGTGGAGAGATACAGCAAGATATACCATGATGGTCGAACAATAACCCAATCTTTAAAAAAAGATGCACATTTCACCCCTTGTTTCCTCTCTGCCAAGATAGATTGCAGTAAAAGTCATTCTTAATGAGTTCATAGCATCACTGTGTTAGTTGAGTTCATACAAGGTGGTTTACTGTGAAGGTATATTGTTTCTGAGAAAATCATACCATCAGAAAGATCACATCAATTAAAGTAAATACAGACACTTTATATTGCATTGTGCTTTTTAAGATGTTCTGCAGGAAGTTCATGTTGGAGAATGTCCATAACGGTGTGTGTGCATTGAGATACGTGGACATGCAGCTGCAGAGATACAGTCTAAATACCACGTCTGTATCCTGCAGTGTATCCACACTCACATGTACATATATATCCATCATGTAGGCTTTGTGTATGTGAGCGTGCTTGAATTTCTAGAAACAGTAGGTCACCGTAGTCCAGGTGAACCGACTACAGGTAGGTTCAAATTGAACAGGAGATGTGCACAGTGAGACAGTGTATACAAAGCAGATAGAGAGGCCTTCATCCCTGGAGCGCACAAGTTGTTTCAGAACTAGAAGAAAAACAGTGAGTGTTTTCTACAGACATGGAGGAAGAAGTGATCTGTGGTCAGTCGTGTGTGAGTAGCTGTGATGGTTTCCAGAGAGCTCTGGGAGTCCATGCAAGGTGACGATGTTGAATGTGTGTAAGTGTAAGTGTGTGTAAGCATGCAAATTGTTATTTTTTTCTCCATTCAATGCTACTTATTGCTAAAACAACACTTTTCTCTCTTATTGAACATAGAGGAGAGCACACACCAGACTCTCAGCAGCAGTCTACACTCTCCAGACTGACTGATTATGGCATGTGTGTATGTCCTGATAACATCCCGGCAGACTGGCCTCTGGCCAGCTATGGGCAAACTCGACCTGCCGTTTGATGTCGAGGGTTGGCTCCAGGCAGACCAACCATTGTGTCCCAAACAATGAACCCCAGACCCACTGAACTATAAACATGTCCCTTTGGGTGGCGTTTTCCTTCAGATTCTGTGCAGGAGACACCCAAAGTCAGGAAACCTGAGCCGGCGTTTCCAAATTTAGCAACTCGAAAGCCTCTAATGCTTGCTGACTTTGCATCCTTCTCTTATAATGTAATAATACACTTGGAATGTGGACTGACACTCAAATCTGGGGTTTGAGTTCTTATCACGTTTTCTAATTTAGGAAATTTGGTTAAATTCCATGTCAAGAGTGAAAATGTTGGGTCACCGAAATTGGTTTCTGTAAAATTGACTGTCATGGAAATGTCTTCCCCACTCTAATAAATAAAGTCTTTATTCGTGGAGGTTACTGATCTACGTTATTGCATGACATTCATACAATCTTGACTTGACTTGTAGAGTGTGGCTTAGTCACTGAGACCCTCCTTTATCTAAATGGCATGGCCTCTATCGTATATGTTTGCACGCATCTGCCCTACCGAAGTGTCCTTTAACCTCCGCAATAAACTCACTCACAACAATCAGCATCACACAGACATTATTTCAGTTACTTGCCCTGCAGTACCCACTGTCCACCGGCCGTGGTCGCTGCGGAGTCTCCCCAGTGAGCAGAGCGTGTGAGAGGCCTTCCGGTTCCTCTGGCAGATCAGCTGACTCTGATGCTGCTGTCAGGAGACCTCACCAACTGTATTGAATGGCAACTATGAAAATGATCAAGCCATAAACAGCGATATTTATTTCCACTGCTAACGGACACATTTGGTATTCACAGGTGAGTGAAATTGTCAAACACTAGCATAATCCCCTCTGCTGCTGTTGTTGTTGTTGTTGTGACAAAGCTAAGTGGCTAACTGGTAGCTAATCCCTGCTGGATGTTGCTTGACCTTAACCATCTTTTTTTTGTTAGCTTCGGTTTGGATATAGTATGATTATCGTTTAATTGTTATTTCTGGCTCTGTAACGTTAGTAGCAGTAAGTTAATGATAATACGTTAGTGTTTGCGAAACCGCCTGTAATAGACTTAAACACTGAATGAGCTCCTGTTGCTAGGTTAGCATGATTTCATTAGCTTGCTAGCTTTGTGGTAAACAGCACAGCAGCTTTTTGGAGCTAAGATGTAGCTAAAGAGGGGAGACATGTAAACACAGTGCTTAACCTGCACTGTAACCAAATCAGTGCTGTTGACAAAGAGACAAACTCATTGTTTCTTAATGTTTTATTAACTGCTGAGCTGTATCATAACACAGCACACATCAGTCTGAATTCAGTCTTCCTCTCTAGTTTTCTCTAGCTTCACCAGTGCTGTCGAAACCATGTCAGAGTTTTGGTTGATCTCTGCACCGGGAGAGAAAACCTGCCAGCAAACATGGGACACCATGATGGCAGCCACCACACGTACCAACAACCTCTCCACCAACCACAAGTTCAACATCCCAGACCTCAAGGTTAGCATGGATATTTGTGGGCTTCTCTGCTTTTCACAACATCACACTTTTATCCCATGCTGAAGTACAGAGGCATGACTTTGTGGTAATCAATCTATTGACTGTTGTAGTAGAATGTGCACATACGTTTCTTTTTTCATCCTTTTAAAAGAAGAAAGTAATGGTGGTTTTACATGTAAAAATAGGCTAAACTCACTCACCTGATATATCCACTGTCAAGAGTAAGCTGATTGTGTGTATGGGAAGCAGTCTTCACACGGATCCGTCGCCTGCATGTTGAAGCGGTCGGTTTTGGTGAAGTTTTTGTCCACAGAGCAGCCCGACTCGTCTGGTTCGGTTCATCTCTTTGCCGAAGGTGAAGTAAACCCGCTGACCTTGCAGCCTCGCGGGGCTGCGATGTTCTCCTGGAACTGTTAGCGATGCATGAGTGGCCCCGGACAAAGAGGCGCCATCATAAGCACACAGGGCCCCCCTCTGGATGTCACTGTAGGCGGACTGGACCTCAGATGTCACTGTTAAAACACAACCCCGCTGACCCCCGCTTCAAAACGACGCAAATCTCAGTGATGACGACTCAAATGTGCTCAAAAGCATAATGTGCTGATGTTTGACTTTTTGTGTTGAACAACAGGTGGGGACACTAGATGTCTTGGTTGGGCTGTCGGATGAACTGGCCAAATTAGACTCCTTTGTTGAAAGGTATGCCACCCTCTGTATTCTGACTTGGAATGAACATTGCTATTAACTGAGGGCTGATTACTGTTTTAGTGCTAAATGATAATGATAAAAAATATCTCCTAACCTGCACAGCACCCCTGACTCTCTGATGTAGCTGCTTTACCTTTCCTTAATCCCTTCCCTTACCTTGTAACAGTGAGGAATTTCACAGGGGCCAGAGGCTAGCGGGGCTCACAGTCTAAACTCGGCAATTTACAGTTAGGTGACACACCAGCAGCTCTTTTTTTAAGTCGTATTTATACCCAATGACTTATGTGCCCCGAGTGCGTTTGAGTGTAATTTATAGCCTTTTGGAAATGCTGACATCCCAAAACTCACACAGAGCCATTACTGCCTGAGCTCTGCTTTGCTTCCTCTGTAGATATTCTAAGACTGTGAGAAACACACGGTTTCACTTTGTCTGACTGCAGCCTTTAATCTAGTTCCTTTTTGGAAGTTTCCGTCCACCGTATCTGGGGAGAAAAAAGAATACCTAAAATTGCACCCATAAATGCATTTTATTGGAGTTTTGATTGGATTATTTGGATATGGGTTATTTTGTTGTCCTTTGTCATTATAAGAACAATACAAATCTTTTTATAGATAGACAAGATTAAACCTAAGTGGCAGATGTACTTTCTTATGAATTTTTAGGCTTGAGGTGTGACTTGGCTGTCAGTGTCTAGCTGGCTTCACTGCTGTAGACACAGCTCTGCTTTTGATGTGCTGCTGAACGCTTAAAAATCCTGAACCTCTGCAAGTCTGCCATATTATAAATTGCCTTGTCAGGAAATTACCTTAACAGTAATATGTGAAAGCTTTTGATGTGTGTGTGTGTGTGTGTATGTGTTATATTTGGGAGATGAGGTCGTGTGAGCATGTGCAGGGCGAACACTCGGTCTGCGCCGGCTCTGTGCTCTCAGTTTGCGTTGGCATGGCGTTGTTTTGATGTCTCCCGGTTATTCACAGTGTGGTGAAGAAGGTTGCTCAGTACATGGCTGACGTGCTGGAGGACAGTCGAGACAAAGTGCAGGAGAACCTGCTGGCCAACGGAGGTACACTGATGTTTGCAAGTAACACTTGTCAAGATTATTGTAGCACCAAAACAAGCCGTGGGAATGTGAAGCAAAGTTAACTAGACTATAACGCTAATAACACTGAAGTCACACTGATGTTGTTCTGAATATTCTTAACTGTCCTTGAAAATTTGAACTGACAACTATCAGATCTGAAATCACACTGTAATGAAATTGTAGCTTTACCTTATCTTCTGTCTCAATATAATCTGATAATAAGCTGATTATAGCCTGACGGTCTCTTGTTGTCTTTTTTTTCCAGTTGATCTTGTCACCTATATCACCAGATTCCAATGGGACATGGCAAAATATCCCATCAAACAGTCACTTAAAAACATCTCTGAAATCATCGCAAAGGTAGGTCTCTGCACTCTGTGTGTGCGTTTGTCAATATTTGTACAGATATTGCTGTGAATTGTCTCTGTGTATGTTTGTAGTCTAGATGGCAGTGGTAGAGCTCTAGTGTAGGATTCTATTTCCCACTGGGCCCATCCAGCGCCTATAGGGGCTCTGAGCAGAGAGTCTTAAAGGGCATGTCACTCTGCATTTTACTTGTCGGTCGTAAATAATTTCATCCACGTTTCCCAGCAAGTAAGCCAGATTGACAATGACCTGAAGGCCAGAGCATCCACCTACAACAACCTGAAGGGAAACCTGCAGAACCTAGAGAGGAAGAACGCGTGAGTGACCCACATGTACCAATGTGCACGTCATCAAAAAGCAAATTATATTAACTTCACGGATCATCTACCGTGTTCACGTGACGGTGTCGGCATGGTCAGAAAAGTTACTGCGACTCCCAACAGCTTTTGTCGATGCCGTCTCTGTGTTGCGTCCATGTTATTGTAACACTGTTGTCCGCCACTAGGGGGAGCCTGCTGACCAGGAGCCTGGCCGACATCGTCAAGAAGGAAGACTTCGTTCTCGACTCGGAGTACCTCATCACTATGCTGGTAGTTGTACCAAAGTGAGTATTGTTTCTCGACAAGGCCTCAGGAGAAAGAGAGATGAGCTGCGCTCTTAGTGTCTCCTCGTCCTCTGTTCTTTCAGGCTGGGGTACGCAGACTGGCAGAAAACATACGAGACACTGGCTGAGATGGTGGTGCCCCGATCCTCAAAGTGAGTGATGTCATCAGTGATTTTGATTTCATCTGTATTTATATGGCCATTAATTTACAGTTTGTTGTGAGCATCATAACAGCCGTATAACAAGTTCCTGTCTTTTGCTCCAGTCTGCTGTTTGAAGACAATGACAGCGGACTGTTCAGCGTCACTCTGTTCCTGAAAGCCATCGACGACTTCAAACACAAAGCCAGAGAGAACAAGTAAGAGTCGTCGCACTGAGAAAACACGCGCCGTCATTGGCAAGAGGTGAAACGTGTTCAAAGGAAGCCAGACTGTGCGGCAAATATAGATAGCTCTGACTAAATATATCAAGTGGATGGTGAATCACAGGGTTTATATTCGGAACTTTATACACACACAGATATATTCACGATGAGATGAAGCTGATTTCTTCCCCCGACATCTTGTTTCTAGGTTCACAGTGAGAGAGTTCCAGTACAACGAGGAGGAGATGAAGGCAGACAAAGAGGAGATGACGCGGCTCTGCACAGATAAGAAGAAGCAGTTTGTAAGTGATGGAACAGGAAATCATTTTCATCGTTGTTCTTAAGTTGTTTTCTTTTGCAAATAGTCTTGGTGTAAGTAGTTATTGTGTAGCTTTCTCTTGGAGATTTGTTTGCAATTTCTTTTTTAATTTTGAGTACATTATGAAGATAAACTTACAGAGATGTCAATCCTGGCTGAGGTCGGTGTTAGTCTCTTTATTAAGTTACCCTTATTTGTCAAAATGACCATTTTCTCCTATGACAATGTATGTCAATGGGGAAGGTTTTCCAAGTGGTAAATCACAACTGCTGAGAATTCCTAGTTTAATGATGAAAATGATTAAACCCAAAGATGACAAACAGCAAGCAATGCTTTCATTAGGATAATGTCAATTTAGTAGTTTTACAAATGTTTTGTTTTTTATCTGACTGGTTGATTTTTTGTATTAGAAATAATTGAGTGATTACATTTTATTTTTTAGAAAACAGCCAATTAAAGAGCCTGAATCAGTTTGAAATCTTCTTTCCTCTCCTGTTTGGGCGAGATTGTAAGAGTGCCACATCCCCAAAAAAAGCTATAACCCTAATCCGTATCTGCTCTCTGCAGGGCCCGCTTGTCCGATGGCTGAAAGTGAACTTCAGTGAAGCCTTCATCGCATGGATTCACATCAAAGCACTGAGGGTGTTTGTGGAATCTGTTTTAAGGTACTGTCATCAGAAATACAGTCTCAATATCGCCCATACATATAACTGATTATAAACTGGCAGCAGTTCAAAAACAAAATAAAGAAAGAAAGTGATTTATGCATTACTTGTATATGTAACGTTTTCCTCCAGATATGGGCTGCCGGTGAACTTTCAGGCCATGCTCCTGCAGCCAACCAAGAAGACCATGAAGAAGCTGAGGGAGGTGCTGAATGATCTGTACAAACATCTGGACAGCAGTGCAGCTGCTATCATCGACGTGAGTACTTTGATATGATTGTGTAACAGCTCTCACTACAAGGTAGAAGCAACAAGAAAAACTCTGCACATCTCGGAGGAACACAGTCATGTGCTACAATAATAACCTTATAATATGATTATCTTATCAGAAGTTAGGATATACAATATTATGTCGGTATGTATACCTATAATACTTCCATGACTTAAAAGAATCCCAAAGTATCTTTTTCAGAGACTATTCTTTGTAGCTATTATAGACATAGACATAAATGTTATATTGTAATGTAGTGCATTGCAAAATAACTAGTTTCAACAACAGAACATGTGTCTTAAAGCCACATTACACACTAATTCAAAGCAGCTTTTGAGTGTGTTCACACTTGAGAAGTGACAAAGTAAAGTATACTGAAACCACACTTAATGAAAGCTTGATATTTTCAGTCTCACTTTTCATTTACTGAATACTTTCCTGTTAGTGAAATGGTAAAAGTAAGTCGATGTTTTTTGGGGAGGGAGGGATATGTAACTCCAAAAATATAGTATGACGATTAGCATGTCGTAGATTCTGTATACAATCGTTATTAATGTGGGACACAATCTCTTTCTCTCCTCCATCACTGTGTGAGATAGTAACAGGTGCTCCTTCTCATGGCCAGAGCTGGTTACTGCAATAAAAGTAGTACGGTGGTCTTAACCTCTACATACAATCTATGCTGTGAACTTGCAGTCGTGTACCAAATAATGTTTTATATTGAGGCATAAGGCTGTATTGATTGATGTTCCAGTCTTTAAACAATGTTGTATAAATAGGTTTTTGTTGTTATTTACGCTTTATGAATATATATATATATATACT